AGCCACCTCCTGTTACTGCCACCACTATCGCCTTCCACCGCTACCACCATCCACTACCATCACTGCCTTTCACCACAACCACCGCCTTCCACCACCACTGCGGCCACCGCCTTTCACCACCGCCGCTGCCTTCCACCGCCACCGCTTTACACCACCACCGCCGCCTTCCACCACCACCGCTTTCTACCACCGCCTTCCACCACCACCGCTTTCTACCACCACCTTTCACCACCACCACCTTTCACCACCACCACCGCTATCGCCTTCCACCACCTTCTACCTCTACCACCGCCACAACCACTGCCACTACTACTGCCTTATCAACCTCCACCACCACCGCCGCCTTTTACCACTACTGCCACCATCGCCTTCCACCACCTTTCATCACCACCATTGCTACCGCTTTCCACCATTGGCACCACCTTCCACCACCACCACCATCACATACACTACTATTTCCTTCTACCACCACCACACTATTACCACCGCCTTCCATCACTAACACTTTTCACCAACACCGCCGCCTTCCACCATTGCCACCGTCGCCGCTTTCCAACATCACTACTTACACTACTACCGCTTTTCACCTCCACCACCATAATTTATTTTTAAAAAATTATAGAAGAATATCAATTTGTTAATTTAATTTATTTTTTTACTAACAAAAATATTTTAGAGAACTTAACTTGAAATTTATTTCATTTTAAATTTACAATTGGTCAAATAGTAAAATAGTTATTATCATTCTATTTCATATTTATAACAAATAACCATTTCATTTCATTCCCATCCTATTTTTACTTGTATTTCGTTTCATTCCTCTACGCCGAAGGCAGCATACTAGGGCTTACCAAACTAATCCACAATTAAGCAACTGAAGAAAAAGGAAAAAGTAGAGTGAGAAAAGCAGAGAGAGCAAATCACATAACACCATGGCAGACCAGAGAGAAAATAAAAAACGTTCTACGCCTCCATGCTGCTGGGGGCGGTTTTCGGACTCCCTCGATTCAGGCCGCCTCGGCCGTGGTGGTTCCGACCACCTGGTGACGCCGATCATGGTGTGGTTTTCGGGTTCCCTCGATTCCAGCACGAACCGATATTGAGAGGAGTGAGTTTTATTTTATTTTATTTTTCTTGAATGGGTGAGTTTGATTTGGGGATTAAATTTTTGGATTTTCTGAAATTAGGGTTCTAACACAATTGGGTTCTTGTTTGTATATATAAGCTTACAAATTTGATGAAAGAGAGAGAGCGAACGAGAGCATCTATAGATACATGACACATACATGTATACACAGACACATATTTGTGAGTATATATATATATATATGCATGCATGTATGTGTTTGTGTATATAACACAAAGCGCACAACAAACCCAAATAAAGCGATTCATTTTGGCAATTTTTTTTTTTTTTGAATTTATCAGAAAGCACGACATATATATGTGTGTATGTATATCAGCAGAACACCCCCAAGTAGGGAGGGTTCATTTTGGCATTTTTTTTTTTTTTAGAATTTTATCAGAGCACGCTTTGTGAAAAAATGAACAGAGTATATATTTGTGTATAGACGGAAGGGTATGTCTAGGTGTAACTCATTTAAAGAGGTGTTGTGCAAAAAAAAAAAAAAAAAAAAAAAAAAAAAATCAAAAATGAAAAAAAATTAAAGAGGTGTTTCGGTGTAAGGGTTACAACAAGGGAATAGAGTATTTTCATGTTTGTAAAGGTATTATAGTCATTAAGTTATAATTTGTATGTCACATGTGACCGCACATGATATTTTACTGGTGAGATTCAATAGGATGATATTTTACCGGTAAGATTCAATCGGATCATCGCCAGATGGGAATATCTGTAATAAAAATATATAATTTAAAAGGTTAATTGCATTTTGATCGATAGTTTAAGACTTCTTTTTTTTTTGCACTTTAACTTTACTAATATTAATAAGTAAAATATCATCAATAAGAATCCTAGACTAGATTGTGTTACCTTCAATATAGTAAATTGATTTGAAGTTCCTTATTAGTATTTTGCATATTATATTATTTTCTTTTACCTTTCAAATTCAGTCAAAGAATGCTTTAGTAATTTAAAGACTTAACTCAAATTTGGGGAGGTGGAGGGGGAGAGGAAAGGAGTTTTATACAAAAACAAATAAATAAATAAATACTTCAGGAAGTTCTTTTAGCAATTTGTCCCAATTCTAAATCAGATCTCAACAGAACCCTTCTTTATCCCACACAAATGGACAATGTAGAGGAATTTTTTTTTTTATTCACCACCTGAACACGAAGGCTGTGTTTGGTAAAGCTATCATTTTCAACTTTATGCTGCCATTTTCAAAAAATGACAGCAGCAAAAATCACTTTTGGTAACCGCGTTTTTCTTTTCGAATAGTTAGAAGAAGAAAAAACCCTAATTTTTTATATACTTAAAAGCACCAATTTGGTGCTGCGGAAATATGTTTCCGTCTCGGCTCCCTTTTCCAGTCCTAAGTAATGATTTTTTTTCTTTTTTTTCAGAAGGTTTCGTACCTCCATAAATCACACAACTATGTAGCCCTTTAATACGTATGAGATCTAAATATATATCATTTACAAAGGACTTATCCCCAAAATTTCTTCCTTCAAAAGCAATATTTTTTTGATTTAATTTTTACGACACAAGCAAAGAAACCAAAGAAGGAAACAGTTGCTTGTACTCCAGATGTTCGACACAAGCAAATAAATCAAATTTTCACATGCATCATACGGTTTGTTTATATGTATTTTCCACTTTTCAATGTTTTGTTTTTCCTTCAATTTTGTAAAGTAAGAAAGAGAAAATCAATAAAAATAAATCAGAGAGATAGAAATGGCTTCTTTTCATATTTATTTTTGGTATTTTTTGCGCTGCAAATAAAATATCAATAATTTAGATAATTATAAAATTCGGACTAAGAATAAGCCAATTTGATTGAACACGCCGCAAAGCAAAGAAACCAAAGAAGGAAACAGTTGCTTGTACTCCAAAATGTTCGACTTCAAAGATTAGAAGTGGATTATTTTCCCCTTTTCTTGCGAGGACTGAAGGGTCATTTTGATTCCCCTCTTTTGTTATCATGAAATAAATATCAAAGCTAAAGGTTGGACAGTCATCATCAATCTTCTTGTTAAAATGTCAAATCTTAAGTTAGGTATCTCAACTTAACTTTTCCCTTCAAACTAGAAAAAGACTGGAATTGCAAAAAATCATAATCAATCAGACATTATAACAAGAACCGACACATTCACTCTCAATACAATCTTTATTTTCATCTTCATAAAATATAGAAAAGCTCTATTACCCAATATGACCTCCATTAATCAATGGTACTGGAGGGATATAGAATACAGAATTCAGTCACCATCTTCAGACTCAAACCCATTGTTCTCATGCTGCTAGTCCAATACAGTAACAATTTCTCTCTCTCTCTCTCCATTTTCAGACTCAAACCCATGTTCTCATGGTACTAGACAGTCCAATATAGTGTCTCTCTCTCTCTCTCTCTCTCTCTCTCTCCATCCATTTTCAGACTCAAAACCATGTTCTCATGCTACTACAGTCCAATATAGTAAGAATCTCTCTCTCTCCATCCATTTTCAGACTCAAACCCATGTTCGCATGCTACTAGACGGTCCAATATAGTAAGAGTCTCTCTCTCTCTCTCTCCATCCATTTTCAGTCTCAAACCCATGTTCTCATTGCTAACTAGACGGTCCAATATAGTAAGAGTCTCTCTCTCTCTCTCTCTCTCTCTCTCTCTTCTAGTTGTATAGGGAAGAGGGGAAGAATCAAGTAAAGACTAGGCAATTTCTAAAAGTAAACAGAGTCTCTCTCTCTCTCTCTCTCGTTTAGGGAAGGGGGGAGAAACAAGTAAAAATAGTACAGATGACTAGGCAATTTCTAAAAGTAAACAGAGTTAAATATTAAGTAGACTTATCTGTGCAACATAATTCTAGGAAGATATAATCATCACTTTTCTAATGCACTACCGAAAATGTCGGTTTGAATGTGACGGATCTGATAGAACATCATACAAAAAGAGCATTGACGGACCAAAAATTTGCTAAAAGGCATGCAATAGCCCATTGCAGATTTAAAATCATTGACAAAAGATGAGGCATCAAGAATGCACCCAAAAGAAAAATGGGGGGGGGGGGGGTGTGGCTTACAACAGAACTTTCGATTCAGGGGGGCTTACAACAGAACTTTCGATTCAGGGGCATTTTCTACGGCCAAGGCAAATTAGACTTGATTATATATTAGACAAACTACTTTAAACTATGTTATAATATCTCCCATTATGACACTTGCACCTTTGTGGGAAGTGTGATGACCCTGTGGACGGGTGTGCCGTGGACGGGTGCAAGAGACACTGTCAGGCTACCACACTGGCGAGTTACGGGTGCACAAGTCCCACATCGCCTGGGTAGAAGAAAGGTGAAGTGCTTATATATAAGTGCATCATCTCCAATTGGTATGAGGCCTTTTGGGGTGAAACCCAAGAGCAAAACCGTGCGGGCTCAGGCCCAAAGTGGACAATATCATACCATGTGGTGGAGCGGGTCATTACAAATGATATCAGAGCCTGACCCAGCCGGAAGTGTGCCGACGGGGACGTCGGGCCTCCAAGGGGGTTGCATATAATGCTTATATGTAACTGCATTATCTCCAATTGGTATGAGGCCTTTTGGGGTGAAGCCCAAGAGCAAAATCGTGCGGACTCAGGCCTAAAGCGGATAATATCATACCATGTGGTGGATTGGGTCGTTACAGGAAGCCCATCGAGCGCATTCTTCAAAATTGCTGATCAGGCCCTAGGATCTAGATTTAACACCGAGGAAGGCAACAGGCAGATGGGCATGTAAAATTTACGTAGATGGTCTGGGTTTTAGCATGGGACACAAGGTTTTGGCAAGGTTGTTGCCAGTGAGGGTGAAAGGGGGAAAGGAGAGGGAGGGGTGAATGCAAAATGTGAAAAGAAAAAATAACTAAAGATATATTGCATATAGTTACTACTTGTATATATTCAACCGCTCAAACAACAATTTGATTTGCTTTTTTAGTCTTTATATTAGAATTTGTTTCCTCAAGATTACAAGAGTGCACAAGTTCCCACAAAATCCTCTGCAGCAAGTTGTTCTTGTTCTTGTCAGTCCAATACACTCCCTTTCTGCTTCCTTTCTTCCCCACTATCTTCTTTTTTCTTCTTCTTCAAATTTTTTTTTCCTTTTCTTTTTCGCCAGGGGGTTGAACGCATACATAAATCATTAAATAATTATTGGCATTGGAGCCTAAATCATAAATTCTCAATACCAAAAAAAAAAAAAAAAAAAAGAGCAACCATGGGGAAGTACCTAAGATTCAAGGTTAGGCAGGCGAGACACTCTTTCAATTTCCTTGATAATTAGTTCCTTCTCCTCTTCAAGTTGCTCGTCATCAGCACCTGCAACATATTACATGTCAGCGGATATTGTCAAAGGAGAGGAAATTGGTGAACCCTGATTCCACTACAAAAACAACAATTATAACATAAATTTAAGAGCCCAATGCAACCAGTTTCTCGAACAGAATTAGTCAAGCATGTACTTTACCTTTGCCAGCAGAGAGATTGTGAAGCAATGCCAGCAATCTTTCATGGTTCTTTGCCAGGATAACTTTTATTTCTCGAGGCTTGTTAGGATTAGCCACAAAAACCTATAATTTATAAAATACAAGTAAATTTATCATGAAGATCCTAATACCCTTTATATTTGAAATTCATATCATTACAAGTCTTAGGCTACACAAATTTTAGAGTGGAACTTAATAAATAGCACCCTTTACATTTGAAATTCATATCATTTCGAGTCTTAGGCTACGCAAATTTTAAAGTGGAACTTACTAAATAGTAGGTTAGGACCCATGCATTAAAAAGTACTCCCTCTGTCCCAATTTAGTTGTCATCTTTCCTTTTTGGGTTGTCCCAAAAAACTTGTCCACTTAAAAGGTTCAAACAACATATTTTACATCTTTCCATAATATTCCTCGGAAGTTTTAAAAATTTTAAACTTGATTTGATATATATATATATATATTCAAACTTAAAAGGGTAACTTAGTAATTTTCAAAGGGGACAATGCATTAATTACATGACCCCTTAAAAAGTTCTACTCTCCAAAAGGGACATCTATTATGGGACAGAGGGAGTATAATGTTAATGTCATGCCCCTCCTATTTAGATCTCTATCAGATTCAAATACTCGAGCTTTTGGCCCTAGAAAAAGTTTGACAAGGGATTTATCAGAAGATTCAGATCTATGTTAAATACAAGCACCCGTCTCTTCCCCACCAATCCCCAGCAAGGGAAAGAAAAACAATGGAGTTAGCATTTTGAAGGCGTTAAAAATGTAGTAACTGCAGTATATTGAGAAAAGAAGAAAGCTCAGCACCTTGAATATGTGGAAAGCAGAGATCTGGATGTTTTTACTTGAATCCTGCCCAAAGAAATGTGGAAACAAAAGCAGAAAAGTAAAAGGTAGGTACAATTTCAACAATATTGTTGTCAATGTCACCTGCATGCAAAAATTTACATGTTTGTGTGGTCTGATACAAAATTAATCTATTACAGCTATGGCACCCATGAGGTCCAGAATTTCAGAAATGGCATCAAAATTTGAACCAGCCAATAGGCTAATTGGGGCAATCTAGCTGGAGGACATGTTTGATTAGAATAATTTTGATGGTCCAAGCCAATGTGAAAATTTCAATGCTGTATTTAACTACCCTTTGGACAGACAAAGGCATTGAAGATTGTTAATTACACTTCATTATTATTTAAACCCCAGTACACCAACACATCCGACTGCAAAATATTAAAATCTTCCTTAACAGTGTCATTAGGATCAGCCAAACCAATATGCTCCTATCTTCAGTAACTAATCTTCATTGATGTAATCAAATCTAGATTTGCCTATTGATTCTAACAGAATAAATAGCATAAACATCACAGGTCAAGAAAAAGAAGACATTCAATACCTTCAGCAATGTCATCATGATTTTCAAATGCCGAACTTCTAAAATGTAGCGCTTCATTATATGGGAATTCGGAGGCTCCAAAAGAAATTCCGAGAGAAGCTAAAATTCCATCACCATTTTATCACTAACATACCTCACAAAGCATAACAATCAGATGGAGCAATTTCGCGAATCACAGGAACAACTAACCTTTAAAGATTGTCTTCTTGTCACATAGTTAGCAGAACTGAGGAGTTTTTCATATTGCTCAAAGAACTGGTACATAAAACCACTGATTGGATAAGCCAAAAGAAACGAAGGACACTAAATATACCGCAAAAGATGTGAAGAAAGAAGTCTTCACATTCTGCACCAAGCAGGTAGTTGCACACAATCAGGAATTTATACAGAGAAATGCTACCAAACAAAAAATAATTTCAAGATAGTTAGGATTGCCCCTTGAAAAATTGCCAATGAGATTTTGTAGGTGAAGGATTTCAACTGGAACATTGTTTTAAGAGTGTCAAATCAACATATAAGCCAAACTTGATCTACTCCAGAATCTTATCGTAAAAAAGAATAGGAATCAAACCTCATCATAATGAGCGGTTAGAAATTCAGAGGCTGCAGCAGCATGTTTGGTAAGGAGGTCCTGGAAAACATTTTTCAAAGGATTTGTTAAGAAGCAGTACGCACATTAACTTCAGATTTTATACCAAAGTAAATATATACTGATATTTATGACTTCATAATTCTGACCTTAAAAGTAGAAAATGCATCAGAAGCAATATCGAAGTTAGGCAGCTCCACATATTTGAAGAACAACTCAAAGCTTGGAGACTCTAATATATATCTGAAAGAACACTACATAATTAAGTGTGAAAAATAAAACTTGCTTTGCAAATAAAGATACTGCATGACGAGCCCAATTTTTTAAAAAAAATATCAAGAACTGCTATAGCCATCTTTCCTGTTTGACATCCACATAGATAACTGAAATTTTAATTCCCAAGTAATTGGGTTGAGAAAAAATAGTTACTTTTAACATGTAAAAAATGACAGTACAACTATTATGATAGATTTTTTGTGTGAGCTCTCTCAGCTTCCATCAACCACTGGGGTTTCAATAACTGGCATAACTAGTCAACCTCAATAAAATCAAGGTTATTAAACCCACTAGTAGTTATCTATGAGGCCCAGTTTTAGATAACAATCTGTGCTGAGTTCCTTGCTCATAAGAAAATCACTAATATGCTTTGCCACACTTTTGTTTGGTAGCACACTTTGCAACCTTGATTAACAGGACCACCACATTGGGTCATGACTCTTTTATGCTTCCAAACCAACCTAAAAAGGGCATGATGGCACAAAATTTGAGCATTTCAATACAATATACTAGTCTCCATAAAATCCGTCTTGTCTTAAATTTTGCAAAGTTCAGGAGGAATGCCTCACTTGGTGGGGGGGGGGGGGGGGGGGGGGGGGGGGGGGGGGCGCGCGGGGGACAAGAAAGAAAACGAGAGAGAGTAAAATTACTAAACAGATTCATTATTTAATGCGGTCCCTTGTCTAGCGGTTTAATGCACTAAAAATAGGAAAAAAATGTCCCACGGATATCCAGGAATAAGCTTCCCTCTTTCAGGAAATAGTGGTGTTCTCTATTGGATGTTCTTTTCATGCCTCATTATGAATGACCTTGCTCTTCTCTTGGCCAACACTTCAAAAGGCAGTCATGGTGATAGAGATCATCCTTAATAAGTTGTCCTCCTATTCACTTGTTATGGTACTTTGAGAAAATCTGGTTTATCAAGGAAGAGCAATCTTGTCTCTTGAGAGTATTCAGTATTTGCAGACTCCTCAATCCTTGTCCTCACTTGAATATACCTTCGGTCGTGGTTTTGAAACTCAAAAGAGTTTCGGCATGATGGCCAAGTTGTAATGCACTAGGCTGAGGGCAAATCATAAGTCACCAATAAGTGGGAATTGGAATCACATCATACTCCTCCAACTCCCAAATGACTTGACCAAGTCAGAACAATATTTGGTGATACTGTGCTGAGATTGGTATTTTATCCCGAGAAATTTTATGATGGAATTTTTTCGATACCAATACATAACACCTAGGGGGTGCACACAGTTTAGATTGGACCGGTTCAAGAGTATTTTGGAACCAAAACTTGTCCTAATGGTTCCATAAAAATTGGAACCAAACAGGACTGTGACAATGGTGAATCAAACCAAACCATGAGGGAAAGGTTTGATTCAGTTCTATGATTTCAAACAAAAATAGTAATAATAATAAAATGAAGTCCCAATCATCCAAAAAAGAAATACAAATGAAGTCCACAAAGAAGAAATAACGAACAGTCACAATCAACGGTTTTGAAATAAGGTTATCTGGAAATCAGTGTGCTCGTTTACATTACAGGAGATGAGATGCTGTAACAACTTCTTTTTTCCAATAAATATAAGTAGGGGTAAAATCTTAAAAACCCCCTCTACTATCAAATTGGTGCAAAAAAAACCCCATTAAAATTAAAAAACCCCCTGAACTGAAAAATGCTATCAAGTTACCCCATATCCGTGTGAAATAACAAAATTGCCATTATGATTTAATGTTAAATTAAAAACTAATAATTATTATTGTAAAATTACAAAAATACCCTGAGTCTTCTTCCTCAACACCCTCTCTTTCTCAACACCCTGATTTCTTGGTTTCACAATTGCAATCTTCAATAACAACCACAACAGCACCATGTGTTCCAATCTTTTGGTTTTGATGACCGCTAACTGAACCCAACAGGATTTTGTTGACTCAAAACTAACTCATCATATTTTCATCCCAACCAACTGGCCAATCGGCATCATAATAATCATGGGGCTTCTTGTTCATAAGTGGTGATCATGGCAGAGCCAAGAAATTGACTGTGTTCTTTGTTTACAGGTTAGATTTAAACAAATCCCAAATAGGTTTTTCATTAAAATCGTTGGCAACACTAAATTTTCCAGGTCACACTCTTTCCCACTGTCAGTCGCATTTCCACCTCTCCTCTGCCATCTCACTGGTTGTCCGATTCCAAGAGCTCCATCGCCACTGATCTGCCGGTATTGGATTCTTTGATCGCGACTGGTTGTGAAACTGTGCACTTGACAATAACAGAAAGGAGAATCTTGCAAAATATATTTGACGACAATTGACTCCACTCTGGTGACGAACTTGCCGGGAAACCCAAATGGGTCTATGAATTCTCCAAATTGGCATTCTCGCTATGATATTCCATTATGCGTATCAATTGAACTCTTGGGCTTCAAAGACTAGTCCATGAAGAAAAAATTAGCAACCTTGATGTGATACAGATGGTTCACTGACTAAAATACTTAATTGACAAAATGCACGATCTTCGCCATCTTTGATTGTTGGTATGTCTTCATATATCTTCCATGAGAGGAGATGGGAACCAATTTTTGGACAAAGGCATGAACTTATCTTATCCATATCAATATCACATCATAACAATGACAAGGAGAGAGAGAAGGTCATACGGAGTATTTGTTTATTAAAATGAGAAGTACAAACTACTAAACTAGTTATTGGTGGTGATGGGTCTAGTTTTAGAGAGAGAGAGGGGGTGGAGAGGAGGAAGAAGATCGTAGGTATTTTTTTAATTTTACAATAATAAATATTAGTTTTTTACTCAATATTAAATAGTAAGGTCAATTTTTTCATTTCACAGCTAAATTAGCGGGCCAACACGGGTAACTTGATAACAATTTTCAGTTTAGGGTTTTGTTTTTAAAATTTTAGTGGCGTTTTTTTGTACTAATTTGATAGTAGAAGGGGGTTCAAAAGAGGAATACATCCCGAAGGCTATACAAGGGCCGAAGCCAAAGAGAGGGTCCTAGGGACCCCAAAGAATCCAAAAAATCCACAATTTCTCTAAAGATATACAATTTAGCACCCAATTAAAAAGAGAATTAATAATAAAAAATTTCAATGGCCCACTAGAAGATTCCTCCCCATCAAAATATCTTCTATTCCGCTCATTCGAAATGCACCACCAAATGCAATGAGTTGTCGCCCTCCAAAAATCACGGGTGTGGGCCCCCACACTGCAGCCTCTCCAAACGTCAATTAAATCTCTTGAAGACCAAGTCATAAACCCAATGGATGCCAAACAAACCAAAAATAAGACTTCAGCAGTCATGAGCCACGAGGCAATGCAAAAGATGGTGATCCACGGACTCTCCATCATTTTTACACAAACACCACCAATCAACTGTGATTTGTCTTCTCTTTCTCATATTGTCCAAGGTTGGAATCTTGCCCCAAACTATAGTCCAAACAAAAAAGGACACTCTGAGTGGAGCTTTCGAGCACCAAACCATCTTCCAAGGGAAAGTGGAACCATGAAACCCGAAAAGGCAGAGGAACAAGGAATCGGAGCCTCCACCATCCACCTCCTGCCTATACAAAAGATCCTGCCAGAAACATCATCCAACTCCCAATCTTGAAACGAGCGCCTAAATCGCACTTCCCATGTAAGCTTACCGCTATCAAGCCACTAACAGTCTGCCACCATGACATGTCTATTAACAGCAATCCTAAAAAAGTCTTGGGAACAAACAAGACAACGGGAGATCATCACACCAAAGATCCTCCCAGAACTGGACATCCCTACCCTCTCGAGCTCTAAATCTAATGTGCTAAGAAAACTCATCCCACACCCCCACACAAACAGCAGATCTGATCGGCCCAGAGGACCATCCCCCTCTCTCCTCCCCAAAGCGGCATGAAACAACCCTTCTCCATAAACAGTGCCTTTTGCTACCGAATTTCCACACCCACTTACCACGGAGAGCCTTGTTGAAGGGGACTAACCTCGTAATGCCAAGACCACCCAACTGAAGAGGCCTACAAACTTGATCCCACCAGACAAGATGATACTTAAACTCCTCCCCCTGGCCGCCCCAAAGGAAATTCTGTTAGAGACTCTCAAGTCTTCCAGCATTAGAGGAAGGAATCTGGAAGACAGAAAGGAAGTATGTTGGAACCCTTTTAAGAAGATATTGCTTCCAATCTTCTCTCAAATCGCTCAATTACCAGATTCCAGTCTCCCACCCTCCTCGACGAAGCACCCAAAGGCAAACCCTGGTAAGAAATAGGGAAGGAACTCGTGCCACACCTTAGAACCGCAACAGGAGAAGCCACATCCGGAACCTCCCCCACAGGAACAAGCACACTGTTTTCCACATTAACTTTCAAACTTTATACTGCCTAACTCAGTTGGGACACATCCACATCACAAAAAACCAAAGTATCATCCACAAACAACAAATGGGAGCTCTCCATTTACTGAACCGAGTCTAGACCCATCCTGGATCCCCTGATAAAGCCCAAATCCATAATATAACAAGACTCGTATACAAAAAGTGTTCTTTTCATATCATTGATTTAGATCTGCCCTAGATCGGAACCTCACATACCTCCCAACAAAGAGAGGACGAAACAAAACCTTATTTCTCAATGGTCGTGCATTCTTTAGATCCCATCGACTGTTGTGACCTATATGAATAAATAGTGGCCCGCAGCAGAGGACGATAAAGAGAGAGAGAGAGGATCAACAATGGCCAAGGGAGGATCAACAACAGTGAGAAGCTACGGGATGACCAACGGTGGCGACAGTGACACTAACCAGAGAGAGAGAGGAGGCATGTGTAAGGACTGGCTGCTGAGAAATGAGGATTAGATTGTGAAATGAGGGTTAGGAAATTGCTTTTGTTGAAATTGAAGAGAGAAATAGAAAACGAAGAACACAAGGATATAATGTGGTTCAGCCACTAGGCTTACATCCA